TCTCTGTCCAGGCATGCCATACGCAGCTAATATTTTAAATTCGTTAGTTTCTCGGTGAAAGTGATCTTTTGATAACAACCGGATCATCCAATTCGCTTATCAATACAAACCCTTCCATTGTAAGCAATAAATCACTTAGAATAAGTGCAGAAAAATATTCTCTATTGAGAACATTATATTCTATAATGAATATTTTGATATAGAAAAGTAATATAACCTTTCAATATCAATTCATGCAAACATATAGTAAATAATTTACCTTTTAAATGAAACATAATCACCTTTCGAAAAAAAAATCTCTCAAACGTCTTTTTAATATTATCCAATGAATAGAAAGAATATATTTTTGATGCACTTGTTTTTAGATTTTCGTTTTATCGAATTTCTATTGCAATCTATCATGGTATTAATATATAATATATCGATTAATGTATTTTGTTTTTTTTTAAAGAAAAACAGCATTTTTTTCTTTTGGCTTGTTTTCTTATCCTTTTTCGTATCACCTTGTCATTGTTTTCCTATCATCGAAACGATGATTATCGTCATTTTAACCGTGCTCAATCTCGGCCAATATGTTACCATAAAAAAAAGGAGAAACATCCACGCCTTCTCATTGGCAATAGTTGCAGGAACAGGACTATCAAAAAAACAAATTGCTTTTTTTTCGCTCAAATCTCTACGATATTCTTATATAAAAAAAATTCATAATCTAATAAATGAATTGATTAGCTACTGCTGCAATGAAAACCTTCATAGTTAAACCACTAGTGTACCCATTTTTGATAGAAGAGGATGATAGTTCATCATGAGAAGAAAACCAGAAAGAAGAAAAAGAAGACAAAAAACTAGGAATGAAGAGAAAAAAACCGAACGATGAAGAAAATAACATGATGCTTATTGTGATAGAAGTAGAATTCAGATAAAGAAACGGACACAAACACCATCCGTAGAATAAAAACATACGATCTTGAGGGCGTGGGTGGGGTGTGTGGGTGGGTGTGGCTGAAAGTGTGGGTCCACCTTCATTCTGCACACCAACATCCACACCCACACCCAATGTGAGCCTTTGTATCAGCAAATAGTTCGATTTTCACCAGTTCCAACAACAGGCGAAATCAATAACTTTTATACGTCCGATTTATTAAAAGCAAAAGGCTTCAAAATACGAAGCACACAAAAAAAGCAAAAGTCATTCACAATACAAAGAAGGAAGAGAAGAATGACTGTTTTGTTTATCATCATTATCATTTTTTAAATAAACAAAGTACGTATGCAATTCTTCCCAATATTCGTCTTCTTTTCCAACAAGAATCTTTTGATCTTTATTGCGTTTCGAGTTGTTTTTCAACTTGAAGATTCTGTTCAGTTTCTGAAAACAAGTGTACATATCAATTTGTTTTTTCTTCTCAACTGATCATTTACCTTAATGATTTTTTGAACATTTTTTCTGTATACACCACTGCCAATAATAATATGTTTCATACCAATTGATCTCAATTTGACGATATCTTTGCTTTTCAATAACAATAGAATATCACGAACAGATAGAGACTAAAAATTCTGTTAACCCTACGGGGAACAATAAACGTAAATATAAAAAAAAAAGATAGAGACTAAAAATTGAAAACGAACATTTGAAAAACATGTAAACACGATGAGAAATAATAAATTGATTATAGCAAGATATAAATATATCTCAAGCGAAAGAACAAGAAGCAGCTTACTTGCACTTGATTATCGTTTAAGTTAAACCATCGTTGAACTTTATTCACATAGTTCAACTGTTCTCGTTCAGGTGACCAAAAGTTGATTATATCGATTAAATTTTCACCTTCTACTTCATCGAAATCGACGTCGATTATATTATTTTGTTTCAATGCCATATGCATATGAAAACATATTAATCTTTTGTAACGTTCATCAAAGTGTACATGAATTGATTCCAAATCTTTGAATTTTTTTATAGTAGTTTGTTCATACAGTTGAATTGAGTGATTTGAACCAAGTATTTTCTCACCTTCCTCAACAATTGATATAGATTTTAAATCTTTCCGTAAAATTTTCAGTATAATGATCATCATTCAAGTGACTTTTCATTAAACATATGTTGCCGTGATCAAAATGATGTTCAATGGTTATGTACTTCCAAATGATTTTTTAAATATATGTCCAGCGACGACATGTTTTGCTGGATATTTGTTTTGAGATATTTCACATTTTAACATAGTCATTTTTTCGTTTTGTTTTGATAATTTAATAATTTGTTGTCGAAAACGATGTCTTGTGCTATCACTTGATTCGAAAGAATTTGTTGTTGAACTTGACGATCGGCGCGTATGTGAAGGCTCGAACATTTTAACATCAATTTCTTCGGCCAAAATGAAACCAGAATCATCGTCTAGAAACAATATAAATAATCACATCTTTCCAAAAGCATACTTCAACGAAACATTAATTCTATTCAGAAATCTACGTACAACATCGATCTAGACTTTCCACGCATTCTATCACATGGTTCTCCGTCTCATACAATTCTACGTTCCTTTAGCTCAATGGGAAACAGTGAAGAAGAAAATGAACAGATTATAGTTTCCTATGATTTCAAATGAATAAATTCCAACTTACGTGAATAGCATAATGTGCGGGATTCGATATATGCATTTAGAATTCCACTGTCAATCATTCCTTGAGCAACTTCCGTGAGCTAAAAACAAATCAAGTTAAGATGAAATAAGAAACAAAAATGCTCTGAGTTAAGACTTGAATAGGACAAACCTGAGCGACAGAAATCTGTAACCATCGGCTCATGTCTTCCAAAGTGATTTCCAAATTTGTTGCTTTTGCACATAATATATTATGTTCGATGATATTTTGTTGTAACAAGTGATTACCCAGAAGAAAAATCTACATGGCAGTGAAGTAAATGCCTAATTCGACTTCGAATATAAATGAAAAAAAATCGCAGTCATGTTAAAATAGCAAAAAAGCAAAAGATAAAATTTTATATAAATTATAATTTATCAATTCGAAAGCACCCACCGAAGGGTACCCACCGAAGAGTGGCCATCGAAGAGTACCCACCAAAGAGTACCCCACAACGGTACCCACCTAAGGATTCCCCCAAGGATACCCTTCTCACCCTCACTTTGTTGCCGCCTTAAGGGCACCCTCCTCACCCCCAAGATGCTGCTATACCTCTTTATAACGAATGTGTCCCATATTCTTTTTTTTTCAAGACAGTGAATTTGCCGCAAATTCAAATTCCCCATCACATGCCACCAATGATACACTTCGCTGTGTACACAGAGACGCATATGGGTCGCGGCTCTTCGGGGGGCGCTACGCGCCCCCACGCCGCGACGCAGATATAAAAGGTTAGTTATGCGGGCAAAGGTTTTTCTTCTGAGTCGATTCTGCTTTCAGTGGAATTTACCTTAGCCTACCTCTCCCATATTCTCTCTCCCACTTCCCTAGTTTCGGTTCTTTCGAATTTATAAATTATAATTTATATAAAATTTTATCTTTTGCTTTTTTGCTATTTTAGCATGACTGCGATTTTTTTAAATTCATTTTTGAAGTTATAGTAAATACTTAGCTCTCCATTTATATTCGAACTCGAATTAGGCAACTCATGAACATGTGCATTCTACTTTTTCGAGTGAAGTGAGAAATAGCGTGCAAATCAAAAAAAGTGCGTGAAGCACTCACTTTGATTTTGCTTGGTGCACTCATCATTCGGAACGCTGTTCTACATTTACTATTGGTTGATAGGTTAATTGTTGATCCAACAGGTTTTTTATTTCATAAAAACTATTAATTAAATATTTTCTCAAAGGATTTTAATTGAAAATATCAATATATATGTGAAATAAGAATTTTAAAAAAATGATGCTTTAGTAATGAACAGCTGACTATTTGAATGATAGATGGCGGTAATCATTAATCATCTTTTGAAATTAAAATGTCGATTATAATTAAAAAAAACGAGAGCAAACGTTCGATACTAACAAGGGAAGGTCCCCAAGTGTGACTCTCCGTTTTAAATCGGGTATTTGTCACTTTGTAGAGCTCAGTGAATGCAGTAACTGCGTATAAAGGATTTCTCCCCATGGTGAACTTTTCAGGAACAACGAGGTTCCATACCTTCTGAAAAATCATCATAAGACTCTTAACTGAAGGCTCGAATTTTGATATTGTAAGGACAAAACATAGTGTTGTTCGGGCCGATTATGGGGTTTGTAGGGACCCTCGTTCATATGGCCCGAACAACACTATGTTTTGTCCTTACAATATCAAAATTCAAGCCTTCAGTTAAGAGTCTTATGATTATTTTTCAGAAGGTATGGAACCTCGTTGTTCCTGAAAAGTTCACCATGGGGAGAAATCCTTTATACGCAGTTACTGCATTCACTGAGCTCTACAAAATGACACATACCCGATTTAAAACGGAAAGTCACACTTGGGGACCTTCCCTCATAAGTTAAAGTAGGAGAGGAAAATGTTTTCATTTTTATCGAAATGAATTAATTGGAAAATGTTTTTGTTGTCATGCACTGACTGAACATGCTAAATACATTGGTATTGATCGTTCTTTTCCATGTATGAATTAAGTTCTATTTAATATGACAATAAAAAATAAAACATTGAGGGTGAGATATAAATCATCTTACTGCATATCAACATGAAACATTTTTCGAAAGTGAAAAAAAGAAATTATCAACAGGCGAATTTTATATACTTATAACCAAATACGCAACAAATGATATTGTTGGATTAGACGCACATAGACCAAGTCCATATTTAGATGCAGCAACAGAACGACCTGTGCAACAAAGTGGAAATATCCATGGACGAGCCACTGCGTTACGTTAGTTTTTTATATAAATAAGAGCTGAGAAAAATATTTAATGAATTGACAGACAAATTCACAAATTACTTTTCTCTTTAGAAACACCAAATTGAGCTGCATATAGCTATGAACAATATACAATCCATCAATGTGTAATGAATATAGTACTAACATAAATAGAGATTCTATACGCGGACTATTAGGTGGTAGTCATTGAGTAACTAAAGGATGAAAACGAAAGAGAATTATTGATAAGATGATCAATTCTACTTGTTTGTTTTAATGTGTATTCCACTTTGCAATAATTATCCTTGCTTATTCACCAAACGCAGTTTTTTGTACGGATACTACCGTAAGTTCTGTCCGAAAGACTTACCCAGATCGATAATTCCGGTTCCGGATACTGGTCGGAACTGCCCGCAAAGATGCGGAAAAATCATCGTATCCGACTGAAAATTGATGGATCCTGGTGACAGAATTTCGGATCGGAATATCACCGGATTTTTCCGGCTCCAGAAGGCATAGAAAAACGGCTGGAAGTTGCCGGAAAAATCCGGGCAATATTCCGGCCCAGAATACTACCACCTAGATCCATCAGTTTTCGGAGTTTTCCGACCGGAATCGAACATAAGCCTTCACCTGTGATAGCCATTTCTTCTTTAGACATCATATAACAGTATGAAGTATGAAGTATATTTTTAATGTTTTGAGTAATAGTTTTAATATTCTTGTTTTAAGCGAACATGATGTGCTGTAAGAAAATTATTTGTATTTCTTCGCTTGCTTGCATATACCTTTAAAAAATTACTTACTAATCAGAAACATAATCTAAACCATTCTGTCAGTGTATCTTAAAGAGGAAAATATTGTAGATTGTTTAGACGAATTTTAAAACTAAAAGCACGATGTTGTTCTTTGGACCAAACTGCACATACAAGCAGAGAGGTACGAAATAAATTGTTTGCTCTTGATCTGTTTTCTATCGATTTCTATCCATCCAATTTAATTTCTCTTTGAAAGCTATTTGTCTACTAAATCATGATCTAGTAAAGCAGCGTTCAAGAGTCTCTGCATCGAGGCAAATTGAACATCTCTGACATAATTGAGTAAATAGGGGTGATTTCTTACAACAAATAAAAGAGTATTCATAATAGATCTCTAAATGATCACGTTCAAAATACTATACCCCATTAATTCTCCACAATGCTATCTTCCAGTCTCAAATTTATACTACATATAAATGTGGGTATGGTGTGCGTGTGGATGAGTGCGGGTGGGTGTGGATGGGTGTGGGGCGTGGCTGTGGGTGTTGGGTGTACTTATGCATGTCGGTGTGGGCGTATATGTAAATACCAGCTATGCTCATACCCATATCTCACATCCACGCCAACACCCACACCCCATCCACACCCACGCCCACACCCACACCCCACCCCCACCCCCACCCAAATCCACACCCAGCAACAAACTCCGCACCCACATCCGCACCCACACTCACACCCACACACCCATTCCAACACCCACACTCTTCACACGATTTTAAATTAATTGAAATTGATAAACGGCATTCAGCAAACAGTCTTCCTCTTAGTCTAGAAAAATAGTTAATCATTTCATAGCATTCATCTTCTAATTGTTGTAAATATCAAATACGAGCAATGAAAAAAGCATGATTACATCTACGTAAATTTGATATTTTGAAAAATCTAACGAGTGGTGTATAATGAATGTCCGGCTTTTATTTTAAGTCTTTCAGATACTTAACAATAATTTTAAAACGCGGTATCAAGCTCATTCGACAGAATTTAATTATCAACAAAACTGTCGACTTTGT